TGCAGCTGATGTGCATTCATAAAGGCACTTTACCTTTGAGGATCTGAAATGCACCACTTGTTTTGTTTTTGTTGCTGAATAAACCTTGTGTGAAAATTATCATGCAGAAGAAATCAGCAGTTAATAATTAAAACCATAATTTGAAAGGGAATGATTTGATCAATTGGAAAGATAAACTTCGTAAACTTCAGGTCTATATAGTAATCATAAACTTTGGGCCTGGAAATGGTTTGCTTATTTCCGAGTCCAATAAGTGTATCAAAACATGACGGGCGCTATTGGAATCACACTCAGAAAACTAGACCGTTTGTTCAGGGTACTACTGCTTGTGATTGTCCTGCATTTGAGCATTTGTTCAAAAAGTTGTGCGAGAAATGTGCAGGCAATCTGCCTCGGGCAGAAGTACCCCCTTTTTGGTTGAAAAGAGTTGTGTTGGCCGGGAATGTTCATTTTGTTGGTAGCGATGCGACCGCAACACGTGCATTTCATAGTGGTTTGAGTGAACCGGTGAAGAAAATTGCACCCTCTCTTGGTTCAGCTTGAGGCTCATTTCAAATATTGAAATCTTATTCAAGTAACTCTACCATTCCTCAACCCACCCATTGTGATATATTATTCCCACATGCCCCTAGGGAGTTGAGGTTATGACACCCATCGTAAGTTGTGGCGATGTGGTGACCCCCCAAGTTGGTGGTTTTTCACATCCTCAGGTACGACGAAGTGATGCTGGAGGAGGAAGAGAAGGAGAATGAGAAGATAGGGGTGGAGATTGAGTACCGCACCCCTGATCACCTGGAGATGGGAACCCAACCCGATGCAGCCTTTGAAGGGGAACCATTTTATCAACAACCCTCGGTGTACGTGGTGGATTCATCGGTGAGCATACAAATATCAGTCGATGTATCCAGCGGGGGGGGGGGAGAATGGTTGCCACTGGTGCAGACACAATTTACCATTTTTTTTATTATTTTTTTATGGAATTGAAAGCGCCAGTATTTTAGAATTGGCAATGAATTTTTTTGGATGGTTCAGATTCTTTTATGGGTGGAAAAATCAATTTGGTCAGTCGTTTTTTTTAATTAAAAATCCATTTTGTGCCCCTTGGACTGTGGGCCTGGATATGCCATGGTACAAAATACCAGCTTTCGCCCCTACAAGCCCAGTTTAAATTTCAAATAATGACTTTGGTGCAACTTTATGCAACTCAAAGCCAATTTTTGAATGGACAAATCATTTGGACAATTCACATCCAGCTTGGTGTGACTTGGGAATGTTTAGGAAGTTTTAGGAAAACATTTGTCCCGTAGCGTAACTTGGGTAGAATTTTGAAGAGGGGACCTTTGGGGGACACTCACTTTTTCAAGGGGCACTTCAAGCAGAGGAAGTGCAGCTTGTATGAGTTGTGTAAATTTTGAAATTTCAAATGGGGGTCTTCAGTGTACTCAGACCTTGGTTGATGAGGGGCCACATGCCCCCCTGTGGTTACGCCATCGGCTTTTTCAAATAGCACCGTAGAATTCTTCCAACAATCTCATCACGTGATGCTTCCTGCAGCGTGTCATACTGCCACAACTCGGCTCTCCCTCCAAACCATGGCGGCTGACTGCCTCAGTGAATCTGTCAACCCCACATGCCAATTCCATCAAACTATCTGGCAACACCACCATCCCGTTCTACGGTGGCTGGGCCAACTTCACCAGCCTCACCATCGCCAGCCTGCACTCAGGAGTGATCTTGGACTTCCGGGTCACCCATCCAGCAAACACAACACTGGCTGGCATCAGCTCGGCTGCCTTTGATGTGGTGGCTCTCCTGTCCAAAAGGCTGCAGATACGTTTCCCGGACGATTATGACCAGGTGGTGGTGGGGAATGAAGAACGTCTGAAGAGTCAATTTGAGGACTATGTTGTCAGAAAATATACCAACATCAGACTCGGAAATATTGAGATCCAAAAAGGTTGGTGAGCGCATACTTCAGTGGGATTTGTCAATGAATTTGTACAGGATATTGCACGTTCAAGATAATACATTCCTTAGCAATGTAGAAAGGTGTGTCCATTCCATGTCAAGTGGACTAAGTCCTTGCCATGTGTGGCACTATCAGACACGAGATTGTCAGGATGGAGGATGGTGTGTGCTTTCCGCAATGGGATTGTGCGTCCACGTAGTCCTACCTTTTGGAGCTGCGTGTGATTGCACACACACACACACCATCATAAGCCTTAAAACCCAGCCCCAAAAGGGTGTACGGTTGCATGTCTGAGTCTCCCTGTTCTGCATGCCTCAACGTGTATTCCTAGCATTAACATTTACTTCACATAGACTAACATAATCTGGGTGAAATTAATGCCCAGATTTCCTCTTCTATCCCCCCCTCAGGATCCATCCTGGTCTCTTTTGATCTGAAGGGTGAGGTAGAGGCTGCCCTCAAGGCCATGTGGACGGACATCCGTGAAGGAAACTTCTACTTTGAGTTTGACGGCCGTAAACTGAAAGCTGATGACTACCTGTTGGTCGACGGAAAGCCATACGGACCAATCAATGTAATGATTTGAAAGCAGATTGGTAGCATGAGTCGTTTGCGTTTGCGTTGGAGTCACGGTTACATGATTTTGTGTTATCATTGTCCCTGAGCAAGAGTGTTTATCAGAATTGTACCTTACATGAATAGCATCTGAAGAAAGTACATCCCTCTCTGATTAATAAAACCCTTTCCATTGAAGAGGGCTTCAAACATGGGATTAAGACAGTTTGACATTGCAGCAACAAAAGCAAAAGGCACCTCCAGAAATTCAATATTATAACAAAAATCATGATTTTCCATTAAAATGCGAAACATTTTGGAGGTGGAAATCTTCTGTAGATATTACAAGCATTTAAATGAAGTTGTTCTTTAACCTTTAATCAAGGAGTTGGTTCAATGCCCTCATTCATATTTGTTGTTCCAGGTCCCCAGTCAAGGTTTGCCCGGCTGGGCCATTGCACTGATTGTCATCTTCTCTGTTGCCATGGTTTTACTGCTCCTCTTGGTTATCTACAAGTTTTTCATCCAAAAAGGTGAGGTTTGGATTATAAATCGATCAGTTATGCACATCAAAAAAATGTTTCCGACCACCCTCTGTGCCCAAAGATGCAGATGTAAATATTAGGGGCCTTGCTGTTATTCATGTATTAATGTCATTGTTAAGTTTTTTTTCATGACTGATATTAATGTGCACAGAAAACTCATATAGAGCAAAAGATAACAGAGTACAGTCAGAACTGAGTTGTCTGAATGAAGCTTCATCTGATTGACTTGGCTGCTGACTGAAGTCCTGTATGGATCTATGGTGGTGGTGGTAGCCACTTCCCATTGAATCATGCTTCAAAGCTGCTGCTAAGTCATTTGGACAGACCTACTTGCAGCACTAAATGCCATTTATTGAATTCTATGACACCTGGGTTTTGCCACAAAATGCCACATTGAATGTGCTTTTGGTTTTTGTTTTTTGCCCCTGTGTATTTTCAGGGAAAAAACAAGTGCACGTGTCCGATGAGGTCCAGCTGACTGAACAGGGGAGTCGACCCAGCCGTTTTTCTTTGTCACATAAGGTCCCAACGATGATGGTCGAGGGAGGAGGAGATGACAATTCGGAGAGCATGGAGTAAGTGCATCAGTAGTACTTGGAACACTCATACTGCCTCAACATCTCATCGAAGTGTATAGAGGGTTTGCATAGCTGCCATCTTGCAGGCCAGTGCTTTTGTTCCACAGGGCATGCAGAAAGGAGGTTTCTCCATGGAACAAAAGAACTGCCCTGCAAGATGGCTACCGCACAAATTTAAGCCTCTACATGTATATATAGTCAGTAAAAGTTGTTGACCTCTGACACAGGGTCAACTCATTTAAATATATGCATTCCACGTAACAGCATTCCATGCACACAAGCATTTCTGAACAAGGTTTAATTGAATAAAAAAATGTCATTATCCAATCTTTATGAACAATCAAGTGCAAGACAATATAAGCACAACCTAGCCCATCATGAAGTGGAAATAGCTCAGAGCCCAATTGAAGGTACTGACATTGGGAATGAATCCTCCATCCTTAGTCTAAAGTGGCTTGCTCAAGATAGAGCACAAGGTCAGTGAACACAGGGACCTGCTACAGGTGCGTGCAGCCAAGAAGTGGATGGAGGGGAGGGGCCAAACACAACATCAGGCCACCTGCTACTTAGTGGTGATTGGGGGCAAGTTGCCCACCTGGTGAACCCTCCCCCAGACCCTAGAGCTGGATATGCCACCTAACAGCATCTCAAAGGTCTCCCCAGTGTTACCCTTATTTGCTACTGTCTGCAATACCTAATTAGTATCCATCTTTGCATCCCCTCAAGATTCAACAACCTGATTGCCCTGAGGAGTCAAGCCAATTCCCCGAGGCGTACCCCTGAGATTGAGACTACAGCCTTACCGCCAGGCTTCACTGAGTCGACCGGCCAGGAAGAGCGAGGTAAGTCAATCAGAGATCACAGAGTTGTATAGCCATGCAGCATCTATGAAACCTTATACATTGCTATGGTCACATACTTCCTTGCTCCCAACAATCATAGCTTGTATTGTAGAGTTCCAGTGCGCATCAAGCCTTGTGTGGCAGTATGAGAACAGGTAGTTAGGTGTGAGGCTCATAACCAGTGTCCAACCTGATGTTCGCAGAATCTCAACTGACCTTTCCCATTGTTGGCATGTGATATATACAGCGCACGGATAGTGCGACGGAAAAATGTCATTTGCCCCCACATCGTAGCTTTATTATTTTCAGTGTTGGAGGGCTTGTGTGTGCATAGAAGCTATGTAGTTGAAGACATATCCATGAGTATAAGATCTAGTGCTGAAAAAAGGACTAGAGTACGTCTGTGAGTTCGTATGCAAGTTAAGTGTGGTACGACATTACAGTAAGTCACATTTCCGCGAGTAAAAGTACTCGGGTATATGAGTACCAGTGGAGTACTACTACATTGCCTGCTGTTACTGTCACGGTTCATCTCCCAGCACTTGAGGACCGCACTGAGATGTTCGTGATGGTCAAGAATCCAGACGGCACCTTGCAGAAACTCTGCACTGTCCAGGCTAACAAGGTGGGCAGCCTGTCTGCCCTGCGGAGGGACGTGGAGCAGGTCCTCCCTGGCAAACTTCAGGGGAGGCCATTCGTCCTGCTGAACGAGGCGCTGGGGAATGTGAGCAAAGCTCAGGAGGAGAAGATGTCACTGACGGAGGTGTATCGCTCGGACTGCGTCATGATCCGATGGATGGAGGAGAGCGGTGAGTGTGTAGTCATTCTGTCTTTCTTAGAAAATCTTATCCATCCCACGTAGCTAGTCTAAAATGATCACATATGCAACAGATGGCCTGATTGGGCAGAATGTTAGCCTATCACTGGACATATCTTGCTTGTGTATCCCAGGTGAGTCCAAGCTGTGCGTGTGCGGTCTAGTTGGCCAGTTTGAGTGTTCCCTCTGCCACCAGCAAGCCTACTGCAGTCCGAAGTGTCAGTCGGCTGACTGGGTGCAGCACAGCATGCAGTGCTCCAGTGCTGTCGTGAAATCCAGTGACAGTATCAAAGTCTAAGAGGATTTACTGGACCGGGAGACATCCCAGACTAGAAGATTATTGTGTGTGTTTGCCATAGAAAAGTCTAGTACCAGATTTAATGAATAGACTATTTGAGGAGTAGTTCATATTTTTTTGAAACACGAACTACTACATGTTTTGTGTGTCTCCATGATGGTGTCTTGTTCATTTTTGCCAGAAGTTATAGTAGCTGTCTTCAACTAGGGCGTTTGAACTGCCAACATGCCCAGACCACATCTGACTGGCATTTTCATTTTTCTTGTGCAGCAGATTTCATTTGTAGGAAAAGATGCACGCTGAACTGGAGCACCAAGCTTTGGGAAAATATATCCTGCAAAATTGGATTTTGCCTTCCAAACTTTGACTGTGTGTTGTTTGAAAAGTAATGTAACCATTTACACATAATGTTTACTTACGCTGACTGGTATTACAAATGTTACAGATATATTGTACAGTTTTTGATTTTCCATAGTGATCCAGGTTTTCGGTTTTTTAAGGCGTACATGTAGACCATGTTTTCCCTGATAAAACGTAATATTTGTGTGTGCGGTTGGAACAAAAAGTTTACATACCCTTGGTAGCCTTCAGTTTCCCTTGATCTCTTGCTTTTTTTGTAGTTTTGCCAACTTTTTCTTTAAGAGGTCAGACAAATTTTATCCCAACTTGATGTTCACAGTGCGTACTTCCATTGAAAATACACAGAGACATTTGATATTTGAAAAATCATTTTGTGAAAATTTACATCTACCCCTTGTTGTCATTCAAAAACACTTCAGAAAGAGGTTCACGTTGAATATGAGATGTGACCAAAAATACAGAAAAGTGGCACTGAATGTGAGGGCTGGAGTATGTAAACTTTGGTTTTGTAAATATAAATATGAATGTTATATTTGTCTCTGGGTTTTTCTATTTGACGCCTACGCCATGTACATCAAGTCGTGACCCATCTTGAAGTTGTGAAATGCGAGGAAAACGTTTTGCTCCCCCAGGTGTATGTAAACTTTTTGCCCCAACTGTTTGTTTGCTGTTGAACTTGAAGAACAATCGACAGAAATGTGAATACAAATCAATTAAGTTTACTGATGTCAGATCCAGAAAGTCCTTAACTGTTGACCATGCTCAAATTACTAGTGGATGAACTTTTTCATAAAATCCTCTGTAGAGATCGGTTTTCTGTTTGTTTCCAGCTTGTCTACAGTTTCCAGCTTGCCTACACAGTTTCCAGCTTGCCCGCAATAGTTCCGATGTGACCACTGTAGATGCTGCTTTGTTCGAGAAGTTAAAATTGAATTTAAACTTTGTATGTTGTACTTTTGCTTGCTGTGTGGTTCAGATTCTTATTTTTCGGAGGATGAATATATTATGCAGATGAAATTAATGAAATTAAATTGTTTGCCACATAACTGAAAGACACAAATGTGTTATTCATATTTTGAGGATAACAATTGTCAAAACATGCAGCTGCTGTATCGTCAAAAATGAAAGCCAAGATTCCCTTGTTAATTAATATACCTGTTTATTGAAAATGCTTTCAGCAGTCAAGTGTGAATTAAAAATGTTTGACGTGTTACTTGCATTGCAAAGTGACTGTTGTACTAATTTTCTATGAAGTGCCCTGGTGAAACACCTCTCTCCCCACTTTCCCACTGGTCTTCCTCCACCTCCATCCAGGTTTTTAAGTTTCCCTTGTCCAGCAGATCACTATTTTGAGTATTTTGACTGACAAACCGTTGATGGTTGGTTGCCACTTTGTTGATTCGATAGCGAAGCCTTGTGGTCCTTGAAACGCCTGTCTAGCAGTATCCCACTTCCCACCCCTGGCTTGTGAGGTCGGCTTTACGTGCTTTTTNCTGTCGGGCAATTTATTCCACATTTTGTAAACCCCTTAGGTTCTGCTAAAAAAATAAGGACCATGAGTGCAGAGGAACGAGCACAAACGAATCAGGCTGAGTTTACCCACTCTTGCTGATACCATACAACATTTTTCATGAGAAGGTCTATGGTTGTTGACAAGGCATGGATGGGTTTGGGAAAGTTTAATGGTCTGAAACCGAAACATCTTTTAACAAGATTGACCATTCAGAACCAGAAAATAGACTAGGTATCCGATTAAAAAAAAAACAATCTGATTGATGCAGGTGGTGTTGCCATAGCAGCGGCGTAGCTAGGGTGCTTGTCCATTTCTTGTCCAACCATGGAGGTAGAATCACAGGCTTGGACACTGGCACTGAACCAAATTATAGAGGTTCTATCCTGAAATGATTCCTGCACTGAAAAACACCCACAATACCGATGACCTTCTGGAGTATTCTAATTTTCGACATTTCCTGCCCTGTGGTTCTGCTGACTGACTCCCCATACATTCTTTCTTTACACTGATTTGTGAACCTCGAAACCAGCGCGGTTTCTTGCTTGCTTCGGAACGTTATAGCTTCTTTTCTCCAGGGCTAAAATCTCTGCTGGAGTAAAAAGTGAACACTACAGATTTTAGAAAAGATTGAAACAGACTCACTCCAGAAATCCTCCTTTTTATCACCTTTGCTTGATTTTCTTGAGCAAATGGCATAGCTAGGGGAATCTAGAACACCTAACCTATTAAAAAAATTTAGCAAAATGAAAATTGATTTTTGCATATTTTTCACGTTTAGGCGCCGATTACTCAAAACGAGGGGTTTTGGGGAACGTTCCTCATTTTGCCGTGGGAAGTCACAAATTGTCCTGTTTTGACGTTACCGCTGCCTGTGGTAAAATTGTGGTATTCGCGTGGGGCTCTACTGCTTGTCATTTCCTTCACCGTTCACATTCGTGAACCTCAAAATCGGCGTATGATGGATGTACCGGTCTCACCGCGCAGTGCCAATAGGAGTCGGAGCGTTAGAAAATCCAACGTATCTTTGTTTCCCATGTGTTGAAAACCACGGTCGCTCGTGGTGGTTTATTTTTTTCGTTATTGTTGGGGATGGCCCACACACACCTGTCACACTTGTTGTATTTGTCATATTCAATAATTTTACTCAAGCATGCGACAAACTACATTCTTCTGGCATCACCTGGAATTTTGTTGGTATTTACAAACATTTTTCACAGTGGTAGCATTGTACGAGATGACCCAATTTGAAAGAAACCTTGCATGGCATTTTTATCTGCAATGCTTGCAGCAGGGTCCAAAAAACCTAAGGGTGCATTCCACCAAATGGTTGTATTTCTGCGTGCGAGCTTATTAATATTTTGTGATCCCACGGGATTTTTATAATAAGACAGCCCATAATCAAGAGGCATCATAGAAATATTTCTATCAATCCCGAATTTAGGACTGATAGTTTCCAGTACGGGGTATTTCTTTCAAGAAAAGCCCCTAATTGCGGACCTATTTTGGATAGAGGCGACGCAGGCGGCTACATTCAGAAATGAGCGCTTAGTTTTACTGTTATTTTGGGGGTATCTTCGTTCAAAGGCGAATAAAAAAAATTTCGTTGCTGAACCCCATGAAATTGAAACGAAAAGTGATCTTCTGGCCATAATGTCAAATTTCCAGTAAAAAAAAAAAATTGAGGTCAACCTCTTCACGAGAGTCAACAGACGGCGCTATTTCGGTCTGATTTTACACAGTTTTCTATGCTGGGCGCGCGTATTTGGTGTAGNGTGTCGGGCAATTTATTCCACATTTTGTAAACCCCGTAGGTTCTGCTAAAAAAATAAGGACCATGAGTGCAGAGGAACGAGCACAAACGAATCAGGCTGAGTTTACCCACTCTTGCTGATACCATACAACATTTTTCATGAGAAGGTCTATGGTTGTTGACAAGGCATGGATGGGTTTGGGAAAGTTTAATGGTCTGAAACCGAAACATCTTTTAACAAGATTGACCATTCAGAACCAGAAAATAGACTTGTATCCGATTAAAAAAAGGCAATCTGATTGATGCAGGTGTTGTTGCCATAGCAGCGGCGTAGCTCGGGTGCTTGTCCACTTCTTGCCCAACCATGGAGGTAGAATCACAGGCTTGGACACTGGCACTGAACCAAATTATAGAGGTTCTATCCTGAAATGATTCCTGCACTGAAAAACACCCACAATACCGATGACCTTCTGGAGTATTCTAATTTTCGACATTTCCTGCCCTGTGGTTCTGCTGACTGACTCCCCATACATTTTTTCTTTACACTGATTTGTGAACCTCGAAACCAGCGCGGTTTCTTGCTTGCTTCACCGCGCAGCGTCAATGAGAGCCGGAACGTTATAGCTTCTTTTCTCCAGGGCTAAAATCTCTGCTGGAGTAAAAGGTGAACACTACAGATTTTAGAAAAGATTGAAACAGACTCACTCCAGAAATCCTCCTTTTTATCACCTTTGCTTGATTTTCTTGAGCAAATGGCATAGCTAGGGGAATCTAGGCCACCTAACCTATTAAAAAAATTTAGCAAAATGAAAATTGATTTTTGCATATTTTTCACGTTTAGGCGCCGATTACTCAAAACGAGGTTTTGGGGAACGTTCCTCATTTTGCCATGGGAAGTCACAAATTGTCCCGTTTTGACGTTTCCGCTGCCTGTGGTAAAAGTGTGGTATTCGCGTGGGACTCTCTGCTGCTTGTCTTTTCCTTCCACCGTCCACATTCGTGAACCTCAAAATCGGCGTATGATGGATGTACCGGTCTCACCGCGCAGTGCCAATAGGAGTCGGAGCGTTAGAAAATCCAACGTATCTTTGTTTCCCATGTGTTGAAAACCAGGGTCGCTCGTGGTGGTTTATTTTTTTCGTTATTGTTGGGGATGGCCCACACACACCTGTCACTTGTTGTATTTGTCATATTCAATAATTTTACTCAAGCATGCGACAAACTACATTCTTTTGGCATCACCTGGAATTTTGTTGGTATTTATAAACATTTTTCACAGTGGTAACATTGTACGAGATGACCCAATTCGCAAGAAACCTTGCATGGCATTTTTATCTGCAATGCTTGCAGCAGGGTCCAAAAAACCTAAGGGTGCATTCCACCAAATGGTTGTATTTCTGCGTGCGAGCTATCCCACGGGATTTTTATAATAAGACAGCCCATAATCAAGAGGCATCATAGAAATATTTCTATCAATCCCGCATTTAGGACTGATAGTTTCCAGTACGGGGTATTTCTTTCAAGAAAAGCCCCTAAATGCGGACCTATTTTGGATAGAGGCGGCTACATTCTGAAATGAGCGCTTAGTTTTACTGTTATTTTGGGGGTATCTTCGTTCAAAGGCGAATAAAAAAAATTTCGTTGCTGAACCCCATGAAATTGAAACGAAAAGTGATCTTCTGGCCATAATGTCGAATTTCCAGTAAAAAAAAATTGAGGTCAACCTCTTCACGAGAGTCAACAGACGGCGCTATTTCGGTCTGATTTTACACAGTTTTCTATGCTGGGCGCGTATTTGGGTCCGAAAAGTGACACCCCCCATATACAAAGGGCGACTCTGAAAGTCAACTCGGCAAGAGTCTTTTTTGCAGCAAAATTGCTGTGTACAATGGCATTTGAAAATTTCAAGCAGATGGGTTTTTCTGACCCGAGGAGGAGCGCGGTTATGGTCGGTCCCCCCCTGACTTGTTTTTTGCAAAACAGTCGTCTCTGATTTAGTCGTTAACCTAGAGAACGGTCCTTGATGTCTCTCACCACGCAGCGTTGTTGATGGGAGACGGGTTGTTAACAAAATATCCAACGTATCTTCATTTCTCATCCGCCGGTTGGAAACTCCAGGTCCTGATAGGTTTAACGTTGTCGCTGCCCAACCGGACCGTGCAACGCTGTACCTTTAAAACGGCTACTTTTGTACGTTGGTGAAAACTGCATGACTGTTGCGGCTGCAGGGTTTAAAATATAAGCCATTCAAGTGTTTCCCCATTACTTCGATTCCAGCCGTCAAACCGCCGAGACTAACGACGACAGGTATCGGATATTTTCTTCAAAGAGCTCCCTCTCTCTCTCCCCTGAAATCTGCCTAATAAAAAAGTGAACAAGGGTTTTCAGTTTCGTTCTCGAATATTCGGAAAAGCAGGTTTTCACTTGCCTGCAGCTCAAAATGAAATGCGTGAACTGATGCCGTATAATTTTGATATAAGGGTGAGATCTTTATCTTTCTTTGTAATGTGGCGATCTGCTGTAATCAGATTTTATTGTTTAAACCGAAATAAGCTATTTAGCTTGATTTTTTGGAGGGGAGTGGAGGGATTTAAACAGAAAGGACCGATTTTTAAAACTTTTTCAAATTTCAAATGCAGGACAAACCAAATTATTCTCCTGAAAGACATTTTTCAAAAGCTTCGGGAAATTGTGAACAATTCATTCTAACAATTTTTTTCTCTTGAGAAGTATGTCAAATTTTAATTCATCACCCCAAGCGATGCGTGATCCACCAGTCAAAACCACTTGTGGCGTCATCACCCTATTGTAACGTCTCTTAGACTTTAGAGTAGGGAGCCGTTACCAAACAGAATAACAGAGTCACTGAATTAACACTACTGATTTAACACTTTAACACTACTGATTTATTCTGAAGAATTGTTTACATCGTCTCCATATTTAAAATGAACAATTTTTGTTGCTAGTGAGGTTGGATATTCTGTATGGGATGTGTTCATCATGGGGAAAATAGAGTACAGCTAGCCCGTCCAAACCTAAGCTGTTTTATTCAAGAGGATGGCAAAGCTACGTCTTCACACGAACGAACGGTCGAGTTGTTTGTTGATACTCCATGCCCGTTCGGGAATGTTTAATGATCGATGCTATCCGCAGGAGGTAGAACGCTTCCGTACCAGACTTTCAGCTTGATTGGGGAGGTTATGAATAATTCATGCAGTAGGAAGCTATGAAAGAAAATTCTATGGGCATGGGAATTTTGTGCACATTTCTTCGCTGACTTCTGGAGAGCGGAAGCCCGAGCGAGGAGTAGGGTGAAAGGCAAGGCTGCTCGAGGGTATGCCACGGGGAACTTGGTCAACGAAGGAAAAGAAAGGTGAGCCTTTCTAGGTACATTGAGTTGTGTACAGCACCTAAGTCTCTGGATGGGCTAGGTAGGAGAGATCTACACTCAATTGTTAAAAGGGTAAAATATGGGCGAGTGGAGGTATTTGACCCTGCTGTGTTGTGCCGGCCGTGACAAGACACGGGTTTTCGGTGTGTGATTTGGCGAGACATATATGCTATGAAGTGGGGGTCTGTGTGGGTCGAATCGAATGTACGGGTCGTATCTGTAGCTTAAGATCGACTCCGAGAAAGATTCTTTGGGGAAAATGACAAAGTTGGAAATGTTCTACGGAGTAGTGGTTCAAGAGCATGTGACAGTCCTCGCCCCACAAATAGGGCTGTAGTGGCTGTCTACATCGTCTAGTCTTAGATAAGAGACAGATTGTAAAAGAGAGCCACTCAGCCCTGTATGTGGGGATAGGGACAGTCCCAGCATGGTGCAACCGAGTCACGCGTGGTATGCAATGAGCTGTGTACATGTGCATGCAGTGTGGATGGTCATTGCACGCTCGCTGTGGGCCCAGTGAGTGGTGTGAAATAACGTGTCTTTCTTGCCAGCTTGACAAACTTTGACATATTGTAAGTACGTGTATTTCCAGAATTCTGACATTGCATGTACACTTCATTTATACATGTAGGCTGACTGACATGTGCATGAAAATTATTTTTATTTTTTGGCAGGTTTTGAAATGTCCATTTTGCCCTGAAGGAAAAAAATTGGAAAATTGAGCCCAAATAAAAACTTCATTGGAAAGTTGAGAGTGAGTAAAATCAGGAGTTTTGAATTAGATTAGTGGGAGTCCGATGAAATTTCACTTACTTTGAAATTTGAGGTAAAAATGTTGCTCCGGCTAGGCACTGGAGGCAAAAAATCCAACTGCGCCAAAGTTAGGGGGCCTACAGTGAGGGAGCTTCAACAATACATGAAGGATTTTGCTGTGACAACAGTAAAAGCTGAAGGGATGCATTATTTTTGTTTTTAGTGTAGGAGGAAGTCATTAAGAGAAGATAATGGAGCAAGGAGTGGCCAATGAGTGGGCAGCATCAGTGGAGAGCACAGAATCTGAATAAGCTCCCTCCTAGCACCAGGTTATTCAATATTCAAGTAAACTTTATTCCTGCAAGTTTACTCATTTTCCCTCGTACTATTACACATGTCTTAACCACTTCCTGCCAGGGCATTTATCAATGTTGATGATACGGGGGCGGGATATTTATCATTTTTTCTGTTTTCAAAATTCTTTAAAAATTCCTATCTTCATTTATTGGACACAAACACGTGGAGGGTGCACCTCTACAAATAAATTCCCATAGACGGCAGTGATAAATCCCCATACTTCACAAATATTTTAAAAATACTCACAACTCTCACAGGTGTTCAGGCTGCACAGAAAAATGATGTTCCATGTGTCCTC